CAATCTCTATCACATATGATGACTTTTATAGTTATTTTCCAATTTCAATAGTAAATAACAAACTGTATGAATTATTTTTATATATAATGCTTAATTTTTTTTGTTACTTAGAAATCGTATGTTATATTATTGATAAATTAAACAGAAAAAGATTTCTACTTTTCTACTTTTCTTATATTTAATGATAATAATAATTTCATCTATTTTTAACAATGCCTTTTTTTGTCAACATATTCACTTTTATTAAAATTGAAGTAGAAGGCTAAATGATTAAAATGAAAAAATATGATTATGATTTTCAGAATCAGCATGAAAAACTAATTAAGAAAAATTGGTTAAACTATAAAAAATCTAAAAAAAGATGATTATGTACCCCCCTATTTGTACTAACTATTGTATTACTAATAGTAAAAATGTGACAAATATTATTTCAGATCCTTTAAAACATTCTGAACCAAATTCTAAAAGTGGTAAATCCTGTTTAATGTTTGATAGCATAAAACAATGTGAAAAGTTATAAAAATTATTTTTTTTGCATAGTATATTTGTTTTTAATTGTTTATCTGAGATTAACAATGTCATAAGTATCAATTGATGCACATCCATCTAGAGCTATTAACGCAAGTGGGTCACCCATGAGTTGATAATAAGTACTGGAAATCTTTTTAAATAACTTATGGTCCAGCTTGTCAGCCATCAAGGTATGAAGTGTCAAACGCTTCCATCAAGGTATGAAGCTTCCATCAAGGTATGAAGCTTCCATCTAGGTATAAAGTTTCAAACACACTTTTGAATAAAAAATTCAATAAAATATCAAGCAATGTTAAAGAATTAATTTCAATTGGAGATTCTGTAGGAGTTATATGTGATGGATGAAGTAATATTAGGTGAGTATTGGCCTAATAAATTTAAACTAAAATGTTTTTGTATTATTTATGCAAATAATATAAAAATTAAAAATTATTTACAATTTGCAGAAACGAAACAGTTATTTAATTTGTGTTGACATTGCCTTCATCATTGACTATTTTATGAAAATCAATGACTTCAGGCAAAATTTACATACATAAATATTTATTTTTAATGAATAATTAATACCTTTTTTTTTTGAAATATTCGGCCATCTCTGAACGACGTATGTTAAATTTTACAACAAAAAATAGCTTGCTGTCAGATATTTTTTAGGTTCAAGAATTTTGAAAGCTGCTAGCAGCAATAACTGATGATATCAAGATAACAGAAGCCGACAACCCAATGTTGTCGTCATAAGATAAAATTTTTTATAATTTAAAAAATAATAATAATCAAAACATAGTAGGCAGTGACTTAAGAAAAAAGAGGAAGTGAAATAAAAAAACTATTTGCTAAAAGAAAAAAATTTACTTAACAAAAATTTATATAGCTGCTAGTCTACTTGACCCCAAATATCAACAGGGTGTCTTCCAGATCAGGGAAATCAGGGAAAAGTCAGGGAACTCAGGTGTCAGCAGAAAATCAGGGAAATAAGGTCAAACTTTTGAAAAATTAGGGAAAAAAAAAGGATTTTATTATTTATCTTATTTTAGAAGCTCTTTAATTATGAGTCTTTTTTTTTAACTCTTAGTTTAATTCTAAAAGTTGTTCTTATTTTCTTTAGAACAAGTTTAAGTAAATTAAATAATGAACTCAGCATATCTTGATGATCAGTGGTTACAAATACCAGAATATAAAGCTTGGTCAATGTGTGGGAATACAAATACCTCAGCAAAATATAGGGTTTGTCCATATCCATGAAATTTGATTGAACTGTCTAATATGGGCCAGAGGGCGTTAAAAAGTCATTCAACAGGAAAGAAGCATTGTGAACGTTTGTCTCTTCACTTAAAAATGACACGTATACCATTTACCAATGTGTCAAAAATATACATGCTTTAACAACATTTTGTCAGAAAACACTGATCAAGTTTCTACTCTTCAGTCGTATGTTGTGTCAGGTTCGGTTATTGATGAAGAGATCAGATAGACACTTAAAAATGTTTTGCCATTATTTTCTTTTCGTTCTAGTAATTGACTTTCGATTTAAATCAATGTTTCATCAGAGTGCTATAGTTAAAAATTTCTCTCTGGAAAAAGACAAGCGTTCATATTAAATAAATTTTGGAATAGTTCCTCATTTTCAATCAGTTTTTTTAAAGATATAGATAAGTCAGACATTTATGCTGTTTTTTTGATGAAAGTCTTAACTCAGTTGTTCAAATGGGGCAGGTGGATCTTGTTGTTAATTATTGGGATAGTGTTTTAAACCGTGTTTGTACTCTTTACCTAGACTCAACCTTTATTGGACTTAGTCAAAGTACAGATCTTTTGCATAATTTTTCTATTGTGTTTGAAACCTTTAAATAAAACCAAACTTATTCAAGTATCTATGGACGGCCCAAATGCAAATTAAGCTCTCTATTCTGAGTTACAAAACTATCATATCAAAAATGAGATTATCAAAATAATTCTAACTTTGGTCTTAATTTGATTTATCTATTTTTCAAAACTGGGGAAAACAAAATAGACTGGGGTATTAAAAAGATTTTAAAAGCTCTTTATAAACTTCTCCATAATTTTCCTGTCAGACGGAAAGTTGTGGCTGAAAGTAATCAATCTACTCTTCCTCTTTGTGGTACTCGATGAGTTGATAATAAAAAGTTGATTATAAAAAGGTGGATTTAAGATAATATTGAGAATCTCTACCAAAGAGTAAGCAACCTTCGTGCATGAGCTACAAAATTGTTTTATTTGCTACTAAAGATCCTCTAATTTTAGCAAAAGTTTATTTCTTTGTTCATATAGTTTATATTATGCAATCTTTTTTAACCATATATTATTATGCTAAACCTATGATGCCATTTTTATATGATGAGCTTTATCGACTATTAAAAGACTTAATGTCAAAGTTCATTATAGCTAATATTTTAGATCAATGTAAAACTGCAAATAGCCTCTGCAAATTTGATTTTACAAAAGAAAAAAACTATTTAAAAAAATCAGATATTAGCAAATACTCTACTTTTGCTGATAAAAAAATTTATTACCTCTGCTATTACATCACTTAATAACAAAACATATTAAAATAAAATATAAAAACTAGCATCGAAAAACATTATTATTACAATTTTTTTATGTAGTTAAATAAAATTGTGGTAATTTTGAAAAAAAAAATCAAAACTTGTTGATAAGGGGAAAAAAATAAATATTTAAAGTTCAAAAGTCGTTCTCATTTCCTACATTACTGACAACGGATAAACCTAAATGTTTGTTATCACTATCTAAAACAATTTCAGGCTGTAAATCTAGTAGTTTTCTAGTAGGTTTCATAGGTTTTTCAGTAGTCTCTTTTTAGTGACCTTTGCATTATTTTTCTTCTCTGCTTCCTCTGTTTTCTCTTCAAAAACTTTAGAACTTAATTAAAAATTCTAATTTAAAATTTTCTCTCAGTTAGTAGAATAGGTAACTTTGGCAACCTAATTATAATAATTTTAATTTAAATTAGTAACAAAGTTACTAATTTAAATTATTGTTAGGTGAAGTTGCCTCAACTCAATTTTTTAAAATAAGTACCTAATAAATAATTTACTCTTTACCAGAAAGTAATAAGGATATTATTTAAAAAAAAAATTTGTTAATAACATCTCTTTATTGAAAAAAAAAGATTTCAAAAAGCTAGACCATAGAGTGTGGAATTTCCTAAATACACAGGATATATATACCTAAATTATGAATGCAAAAAGGCATTATATCTTAAATGTGATTGGATTTATTTTTATTAAATTGGATAAACTAATTTAAAATAACTGAATAATGTTTTCTAATCGTCTAAAATATGTTTTGGAAGAGTTAAAAAAAAATAACTTGTTGTTTATGAGTAGTTCTTTAACATGTTTGTTGATGGCTTCAGGTAAGATTGAATTGTTTGCATACAGTGGAATTTATAGCTTTCAGGCCATCAACAGGTTGTAAATAAATGTTAAAAAAAAATCCAAGTAACAAAAGAGAACACCTTATTTACGCATTGAAAATGTGTGTGGAATCAGTTTTGAGGAAGTACTTATTGGGCGTTTTCCTTGGGCGGATAAAATTCTTAACTATTGTTAAACATTTTTTAAACAGGTTTTTGTCAAACAAGTTCACACTAAAACTCAATTTTCAATTATAAAATAAAGATTTTTTACAAAATGTTGCAATTTTGTTGACATTTTTTAATTTTATAACAAAATACTAATACTATTTTCACACTTAGTAAAGATTTGTAAAATTTTCTCAAAACAAATTTCAAATAGGCTCAAAATATCAGCCCTTTTAAAAAACACTTTTTTAAAAGGGCTGGATTTATATAATTGCAGTTTTTAAATCATATTTTAAAGTAAAGCAAACACACATCTCTAAAAGAGTAAGATGTGAAGTTATGTTTCTGATAAACATGACTCGTGTTTTACTTGCTTTTGTAACTTCTGTTGCGTCCAGATTTTGAGCATTGTTAGCGTTAAAATGTAAAATTTAACTTATTTTAGTTTAAAATTTTTTTGCTTGTTTAAAAGCTAAGATAATAAAACAATAATCCCCTAAACTAACTAGAAAAGTATGGCATTAAACAACCAGACATTTTGTGCACAAGAAATTTTTGTTTTGTTGAGAAGTGGGAAACTTATCCGAAGGTGTTTTCCTACCGCATATTACAATGACTTCAGTTTAAAAACGGTAAATTTTAAGTTGGAGGTCTTACTAGCATGGAAAGTTTTTTAGTTTAAATTTTTATAAATTAAGTGAGAAATTATTCAAAACCCTTTCATTAGCATAACAGCAGTGTTATGAATATTTTATTATAAAATAATTACAAATATTATGTTTCGCAGCAACAAGACTGTTATTCCATAAAAAATGAAAACATGCTTTTGAGGGTTGTCAGTTTTATTTTTTTCAAAACTTAGAAATTAAATAAAAATTATTTATTTAAATTTCTGTATACTAAAAGAAGTTATTAATTTTTAATTTTTTTTTCAAGTTACACTTTAACTTTATTCTTAAGTATGAAATTTTAATATGAGCGTCAATCAAAGTTGGTAAGTGATATTTTCCTTCAAGTAACTTTTTTATCACCTTTATTATTTGGTTATTTATATTACAATAAATAAAATACATGTAACATAATAACATTCGCTGATGTGATTAAAAATGAATAGAACCAAATAAAAGTTATTAAACATTTTTTTAATGTTAATTCACTTCCCAAGGCCGGAAAGGCCACTACAGACGAAGAGACTACTAAGTTGTAGTTATAACCCTCACTAAACTCTATAACTCCGAAACACAAACCTTGACGAACCAGGTTGCTGTGCGGAGAAACAAGTTGAGCTCGGCACTACGAGGTACGTGGTGGGGATCGAACTCGGAACTTCTTGCTTATGAAGCGAGCGCTCTGCCACTACAACACTACCGAAACATATTACTTTACTTTTTAATGAAAAGCCATGCTGCACCTTACCATAAGCTGCATCTAACCACAAGCTGCACCTTGCCTTTACAGGTTGTTATGCTTTTTTCTCAGTTCACTCATTTGCAGGGCAATAGTTCTAATGCTATTCAAATTTATATGACATCTCCTATATTTTTCTAATGTAACTCTGGCATAAAACTTATAGTTGAACAATAATTTAAAAAACGTTTTTAAAAATTTGATTTAGCTTTTTGAATATCTGAAGATTTCTTTGATTTGGTAAACTTGTAATAAAACAAGTTATTTAGAAAACAAAAATATAGTTAAATAGATAACAATAAGAATTGCAAGATATTTCATTTTATTTTATTTCTCTAAATAATCAATAAATCACAGAGCTATGTGTTCTTGATTTCAAAAGTTAAAGTTGACATTTTTCTCTCAAGTCAAGTCCTAGACAAATTATATTTGATTCTCACGTCATGTCCAGTGAAAGCCAAGATTAAAAAAGTTATATTTTTATTAATTTCTAAATGCATTAATCCATTATAATTACATTTAATATAAATTTCTTATAATCCATTGCAATCGCAAAAGATCAAATTTGTCAAAAGTCTGATAGACGTCAACACCAGTATGACAGTAACCTGGACTACTATGCCTCCATGGTTTATAACTCAAGTCAATGAAGAATTTATTTCGAACAGGATCTTGTAGAACCATATTTAGCAAAGCAAATAAAATGAAATCCTAAATAAAAGATTAGTTAGTAAAAATGTTGGTGTAGCAATGAATAAAAACTGCTACTGTCGTCACACGGAATAAACAAACTAGCATTTTAAAGTCAAATCAATGCATAGATTTAGCGCTTCATTACACAAATAAAAAACTGGATTTAAGGTAACTGCCTTAAGGCGAACTTGATCTGTAATACCGACTGTCATTCCAACTTGGGACATTTTTACATTGATGAAGATGATAAGTCAACGTGTTTTCAGAGATGTTAGAAGATATCAGATCATTCTCTTAAAAACTGGAATTTGTAGTTTCCATATTGACTTATTTTGGCTCTCATCTTTTCTTGTCATAAATCTGTCGTTTTTATAAATGGATTAAAAATGTATATAACTTGACTGAGCTTTAAATTGTAAGTTTAAAAAACTACATAAGTTTGACTCATTGTTGATTCCACTTTGTGCTGACACAAGCAGGTTTTTTCTTCGAATTGAATGGAAAAATGTTTTTGAATATCATGCTAGTATGTAGCAGTAAACTGAAATGTGGTTTGTTTCTTTTTTACATTTATCGCCTCAATCTTATCTATTCGACACCAGCTGAAGGGTGAAAGCAAAACATTGCTAACAGTGTTTTCTTGCAATAACAAAATGCATTGCTGCTGTCTTTATAAAGTTAGGTAAAACGCAGAGATATCAAGTTAAGTTACCAATTCGTTCTTAATTGAAAACATTATACATCTAACAATGGCAAAGATATAGAGATACGAAAAGTAATGATTGCATTTGGAAAGACTGATGATAAATCACTGCTCACAAAAACGTTGGTTCTGCCATTAAACTGGCTAGTTTTGTAAATAGAAATAGATTTATTTAAATTGATAATTAGAAGTAAATTTACTTAATAACGATCTTCATTTATTGCATCAAATATTTTCTTCAACTTAATAAAAATTTATTTCAGTTTTAAGTAATTTTATGATAGTTAAGGTGTACAAATTTATTTAAAATATAACAGAACTTCAAGAAAAGCTACATCAGTCATCAGTCAGCATTTTATCCAGAAATATTTACGTTTTCTTAAGTTACCTGGCAACCATAAAAATATTGAGTTTACAAACAATTCAAATTATATAATCATAACATTAAAAGTTGGATAAAAAAATTTAAAAAGCAAAATTGGTACCATAATGCTCTATTAGAGCTAAACACTTGCAATGAGTTTTCTTGTTTATACATTTTTAGTATTAAATTTCTTTTTATTCTTTCAATTTTTAACCCAAGTTCTCACATAAGAGAAGATCGTATGGATGTGTATGTGTGAATAACTTATGAGAAGATGTGTAGTGTGACAAGGCAAGAAAAAGAGCTATAGTCGTGGAAAAAGATCAGAAAAAACTTTTTATCGAACAACAATCGTAGAGGTTGAAATAACAAGTTTTGAATACATATTTTTTTTGACAACTTGGCCACGGTTTTAAGCATAATATCATAATTTGCGTGTTTAAAAAAATGTGCTTAAAAAACCAAACTAAAAACAGAAAATGAAAAACAAACCATAAGCTGTAAAAGGAAACAAACTTACTGAATATTTAAAAAAAAAGGATAAAGTCAAGAAAATAAAAGCATAAAAACAATATTTTTTTAATTTAGAAGCATTATAATAAGTGTGTTCTGTAGTACATTAGATGCTTTTACTTTTCTATTTCCTATAAAAGTGACTACCCTAGCACCACACTATGTTGGGTCAAAATTAGAACATTTTTGGAGTCGTTTGGTTATCGTTGCCCGAATGTTAACCGAACATGTTGCGCTGTTTGAGTATGGATGCATTTTATTACTATTATGCTTACTTTTTAAATATAATTGTTTGTTTTTAATTTAATTTTTAAAATGCTAAAAGTCACTACCCAGTGGGCACGGAAGTAAAAAAGGACGTCTTTTAAACGTCTTATACACGTTTTAGACGTTTTCTGAACGTCTTTTGAACGTTTTGGACGTATTTTAAACGTTTAAAAGACGTCTTTTTTACTTCCGTGCCCACTGGGTAACAACAGTTTATGCAAGATATTGAACGTCGCTTTAATGTTTCCAATCGACGTCATTATTTAACAGATATAACTAGATTTTTTTAATAGCTTTGTCAAGGCAACGTTCAAGTTTTGGACTAATGAAACAGTTACTAAAAAAACTTTTCAGCAATTTAAACATAATTTTTTAAAAGGATTTTTTAAAGTACAAATTAACTAAAAAGGCTTTCTGGTTCGATGCAAAAGTATTTAAACGTAAAACGAAAAATTTAATAATTATTATATTCAGCAAAACTATTTTCTAGTAACTCGTAAAAAGTGTTTTATATATATATATATATATATATATATATATATATATATATATATATATATATATATATATATATATATATATATATATATATATATATATATATATATATATATATATATATATATATATATATATATATATATGTATTTATATATGTATATATATATATATATATATATATATATATATATATATATATATATATTATATATATATATATATATATATATATATATATATATATATATATATATATATATATATATATATATAACTTATACACAGCTACAGACTTTTGTTCGCTTGTATGATTTTATTATCAAGCGTTAGTTTGTTCATCACCAGACTACCATGTAAATCATATGCAAGTTTCAACTTTACAACAAATAAATACTATCTTGGAGACATCGATTCAACATACCATGTAAATAGTAGCAACCACTGTGCTATCTATTGCGTTAGAAATCCAACTTGTACTTTTGCTAATTTTAATGAAAATCAAAAAATTTGCGAGTTGATGTCATCGAAACCGAATTCTTCAAACAGTATAGTCGACCAACAGTGGCAAGTACTCATGTCCGAAACTGAAAACAACACAAATGTAAGTTACTTTTATTTTAATATTTTTTCATATGACGTTTCATATGATTTTAAAATATAGCTTTATCAATGTATATAAATAGAATAGTTTGAAAATGAAAAAGTAGTATTATTTTTTGTAGCTCTTTATGTTTATTGTTAAAAAAAAAAGTTAAATAAACAAAAAAAAAGAAGTTAAATAAAATAAAATATAATAGCAACTAATAATATCTCTATATTATAAGAAAAACTACTTTTAGAAAAAATAAGCATTAGCAATAAGCAACAACCTAGCAGCACTCCTACCGGCAGCACGCTATAATATAGTCGATGTATGTACTTTTTACTTTTCCAAAAAGTTGCTAATGGAAATCATTTTTTACAAAAAAAAAAGTATACTTACAAGGAAAAAAAATTTACAATACAAAAAAATGTTTTCGATAACGTATTTGTCCATGTAATTATACTTTTTTTGTTTTTCTATTTCACCTTCAAAAGGTTCATCAGGAAGCTACCTTATAAATCTGCTGAATGTGAATATATACATACAAGGCCGGGCGCAAAGGAATTGTTTAGGATGTCCACATTCAATAAATATTTACATTATTAGTCGGCAAATTGAAACCTATTTTTTCATACAGCCAGCGATATGGGACTTTAACCATTTACCTTTAGTAGGTTAATTGCAGAACACGTGAACCCCTTTTTTTAGTCAGCAAAATCCATAACTCAGCCCCCCTCCCCCTACCTGACACGTACTTGCGCCGGCCTTGTATACTTATTTATATACTCTGTTTTTAGATTGGTTCGATTTGTGAAAATAACAATCCTTGTAATAATTTATATTGCAGAGATATATGTCTATCAGGTGATCCGTTTGTCCACAGCTATATTTGCTCTGGTAATTTTTATTTACACTAAAAAAGTTTCAATATTTTTTCTATCTTAGTTATTTTTTAATTATCTTACGTTGTTTTTTTGTACAATTATTTGTACTTTAAAAAACCTTTTAATTTATATCTTTGAATTGTGAAATTTGCATTTCAAGTGCTGCTTTAGTTTAAAATAAAATTTTAAATTATCTTTGTAAATTTTTGAAAATTTTTGGATATTTTGTAACAGCTAAAGCAATTTTTTACTGATAATACTAGTTTACAAGTATTATCAGTGAAAAAGTTGTTCGATGTCGTGAACTTTATGGTTGATATTGTTCACTTACGACATATTATTTACAAAATTACCTTCATAAATTTTTTTTTGAATTTCATAATTTTAGCATGTTTGTCCGTTGATAACGTGCACGTTTCACATCGTTTAAGATTATTACTTGATATTTTTGATACATAAGTTATGACTACTCCAAGGATATTTGAATCCGTAAATTTTAAAAAGGCGGAAGTCCAACAATGTAAACTTTTGGAAATTGAAGAAAAACCTCATTTTCCCCCATAGTAAATTTTTGTTAATGGTTTAACAATTTTTTTTTCGAAGAGGGTAATGTTTTTCAACTATTAAATCATTAACAAAAATTTATTACTAGGGAAAATACAGTTCTTTCAGTTTCCCAAATGTTTACACGTTGGACTTGAATTCATTTTATTTAAACAATCTAAATCAATTTGTCTGCATATGTGCATAGTATGAGTTTCACAACTGTAGAAAAGTTATATCAGAGTTCGACAAAAACATTATTTTCTGCATTTTGTATATTTTTAGAGAAAAATTAGAAGTTGCGGTAAACAAACACTGTATTTGTAAGACGTGTGTTGAATATTTAAGATAGTAGAAAGATAGCAAAAGAAGTTTAAATTTGAAAACCCAACCATGAGGTGACAACTAAAAAAATTATCTCGATGACTTTGTTTAGAATTCAGAGCAACATTCATTTGAGTCTTCAGTGCTAAGCTCTTAAGAAAATCCTGATTTTGATTCTTTTCGAATCTTATTCTTAATCCAGATTTTAAAGATTTATTCAACAAACCAACACGTTTTACACAAAACAAATCAAATATTCTTTTAGGAGATTTAAATTTCTCAAAACAAGCATCAGATTTGTTAGCATCAAGACTGAAAGAAAAAAAAAATTTACTTCATAATTTACTTTTTCTTTTTCTTTTACTCATTGAATATTTAAGACATACTCTGTATTCTTTTACATAATATGCTGAGGTGCAATTGACCTCTGTACAAAGTTGAAAAAAAGAATATAGTAGCTTTTTGTTAGTTTTAAATAAGATAAAATGACCATAAGTGGTAAATTTGTGTGGATGTAAAATGGTTAACATTGTTCAACAAAGTGGTTACACGAAGTTTCTCTGTTTTTTGTCTTTAAGACAGTAGAAAAAATAAAGAATACTGCTTAAAAAAAAATGACACCTGGAAAACAATATGTTGTCAGAATCACTTGAAAATGATAAAAAATCTTATAACATATAAAAATGATTATGAAACAGTTTGTTAAGGCTCTTGATGTAAACGGAAAGTGTTTTTTCTACATTTGTCAAAATTTTTTTCGACTATTTTTAAAATTTTATGAATTAGATTGAATTAAGGGTTAGAACAGTATTCATCTCTACGACGAGGAACTTTCTCGTAAATAAAACCTGAAAAATATAGCGAACTTGTAAAAACTCTTTTCCAATAAAGGTGCAGTATGAGCATAAAAATTCACTTTTCCCATATTCACCTGGAAAGTTTCCCTAAAAATCTACGAGGTATAAGCTAGGCAACAAATGCGCTGTAAACTTGTGCAATCAAAACACGTTTTTAGTCAAAAACTTATGCTTTAAAAAAACAATTACATCACTTTCTATAAAACATAGGAAAATTAAAAACAATTGCATCACTTTCTATAAAACATAGGAAAATTAAAAAAAAAAAGAAATTAAACGGGTTTCTAGATAGAAGAGAATAATGTATTTGCAAAAGTTGTTTTCAAAACAGACAATATTTAAAAACCTCGTGCATAAAAAACGTTATTGAAAAAAGAGATGTTGACGATAAGTAGAGTAGCAGAAATTTGTTTGGAGATAATCAGACAACTTCCGTAACAATGCTAGATCGATCCCTTTCTGTTCTGTTGTTTGTAAATATTTAAAAGATTAGGTTTTAAATATTCCAAATAATGCCAATAACAAAGTAATGAGACAATTTTTCATAAAATTTTTTAGTTTTCATTTTATGATCAAAAACTTTGTTTATTCAAGTTTTATTTTAAAATCATTTAAAATTTTGAGAATTAGAGATTTATTTGAGTATTTTATGGCTTTAAATCAATTTGTAGAGAATTAATGTTTATAAACTGTTGATTATTTGCGCATTTTGTTCGGAAAACAAGACCGCCCCTCGAAGACTAAAAAAAATTAAATTTTTGCAATGCTTTCTGAAAACAAGCTTAGTCAACACTTACATAAAATAAAAAAAAAAGCGCGTAAATCATTTTAGAGCTTAGATGAAGTTGATCTCTGATCATCCATCATGATCTGACAACTTATCCAAATTAACACAAAAACATTTGATTTAAATAAAGAAAAGAACACAACCTTAAAAAGCAAATCTTGATTTAGTTAGGTATGCTATTCAAGAAAGTAATTGGAGTTTTAAAATAGAACATTTAATCTCATAACCTTTATGATTCTTATGTTAGCAAACTTTATGATTCTTATGTTAGCAAACTTTATGATTCTTTTGTTAGCAAACTTTTATGATTCTTATGTTAGCAAACTTTATGATTCTTATTTTAGCAAACTTTTATGATTCTTATGTTTGCACACTTTACGATTCTTATGTTAGCAAACTTTATGATTCTTATGTTAGCAAACTTTATGATTCTTATGTTAGCAAACTTTTATGATTCTTATGTTTGCACACTTTACGATTCTTATGTTAGCAAACTTTATGATTCTTATGTTAGCAAACTATTAGAGAAGAAGTTGAATCTTGAGCAGTTTTATATCAAAAACTTTTTTTAAAATAAAATTGGAAAGTAAAAAGCTATGTAGGCTTCAACTAATAAATAAAAATGAGCTGAACTTTTCTTTTCAAACATCAAAAATTTCATTACGACAGAAAAAGACTTCTAGACAATGAAGCAATTCCTAAATCATTTAACTTTCTGACACTACTGAGTTAAAGTATAATTTCAGTTTTTGACAAAAATTCTTGTTAAAAACACAACCCCACATTTAAAAGTTTTGATGTAAAAGATATAAATATGTTTGGAAAATATATTTTATAGCTTGACTTATAAAGAAACTAAAATGGCTTGAAGTGTTAAAAAGACAACTAACTTTTCAATAATGTTTCAAAACGATTTCGATGATGTTTTTAAACACTCGTTTTCGTTATGCAGACATTATTGACTTACACATAAACTTAAAATAAAAAGCATAATATTCTAATAGCAAGAGATTGTATAATTCTTTGTGTGTTTTTAAGTGTGTTTGTGGTTTTGTGTCAATTTGTTTAGAAATTTTTTTTGATATAAGTCAAATAAAGAAAGTTTAACCTATTGCGCGATGTTTCTTTAAAGAAACAAAGACCAAAAAGACCTTTTGACTACATACTTTAAAAAAAAATTTTTGTTTATATTTTTATAAGTGTTTTATGTTGAAAAAAAAGCATGCTCATTTTTTTCTATTTACTTTTCATAATCTGTGCAATATAGTGCAATACAGAAATGAGTTACAACGATTTAATAAAAAAATATTTTAAACCTGGAGTTGAAATCTAAAGTTGAAATCTAAAGTCAAAATCTAAAGTTTAAGTCTAAAGTTGAAACCTGGAGTTGAAACCTGGAGTTGTAACAAAATCACATAAGTAAACGACTTAAAATGTAAAACTAATCTAATTAATTCAAATCAAAATTAATATTTATTTTGAATTTATTATTTTTGATATATATATATATAAATCATATTTTATTATAAACATTAGCATTTAGCTAATCCCAGGTATTGCGGGGAACAGTAACATATATCTAATATTTAGCTCTAGATTATCTATTGAGCACTCTTTTAAGTATACAATATTATATTGTTAGTATATATATATATATATATATATATATATATATATATATATATATATATATATATATATATATATATATATATATATATATTAGAAACGTATGATGTATCAAGAAATGCTATTCCTTCATTGTCAACAACGTATCCCGGATGCGATGCAATATACTCCATTGATGGAAATCCACTTACTGAAGCAACATCTCATCAATACTATCCGAAGTGGTTTAAACTTGACTTAAAATATATATTTCAGATATATCAAATAGTTATTTATAACGGTCAATTTTATTGGAGAACAAACGGTAACAGATTGATTGTGAGCATAACCGACTTAGAAACAGATTATAAGCAGATTGCAACATTAAACAACGATATGAAACAAACTTTTGACGGTCCATATGTTGCTAGATACATTCTTATCTTTAAAGATATAAGTGATTTACTTACTTTAGGAGAAATTAATGTATACGCCTGATTTATTATTTTAAACACTACTTTTTTTACTTTTGATTTTTTACACTGTTTTTTCTTCACTTTTTTATTTACTAATATTTTCACTTGTTAATAGAAAGCATATTTTGTTATTAGAGCAAGACGTATCTGTTAACATTATGCTTGGAACGTTCTTTGTAATTAAAGTAAAAAATTAACGTGATTCAAAAAAAGATTTTAAACAAAAAACCTTTTATAAATCAACTTTAACTAAAGTTTTTCAAATTTAAATAAATATTTGTCATAATGATGTTTAACAAATTTTCATTCAACTCTTTTATAATCAGTTTTAATTTGTAGTTTTTTAAAAGCAACCTCTGTTTTGTCATCTTACCATTTAGCACACAACAAGAAATTGATGCAAGTTAAATAAAATCTTTTCTCGAACAACACAAACGTCCTACTTTTTTCTTAAATGTAATGTTTCCTGTCGTTACCAATAAGAATACAAAATTTAAAGTGGACAATGAATTCATTCATAGAATTATAGTTATAAGAATACATTGTCTGAAAAAACGGACCGTGTCCATTGTTTTTTGATTTTCAAATAAAAACTGCGCGACGACCCGACGAACCTGCACAACTTAAACTGTTGTTTAGAATGTTTGTTTAATTAAAGAAGGTTTTTAAAACAAAGACATAAACTTAGCAACAGATATAGTCTAGCGAGCATACTGATAACTTAAGGACGTCCATAAGACGTTTCGTTTCTTGCCCATAAGACTTTCTTAGTTGTTCTCATATGAAAAACTTGAGGATATCTATTCCAGACGTCCTAAAGAACGTCTTTACGACGTCTTTTTAAAACGTCTTAAAGACGTTCTATGCAGAAATCCTAAAAACGTCTTTTCAGCCGTCCTATACACTTTTATATAACTTTTAAAAGAAATTTTAGGTAAAATTAGGACGTCTCTAGGACGTCTAAATAAGACGTCTTTAAGTCTTTCATATGAGACCAGCCAGAGACGTCCTTATTTTACCTAGAAATTCTTTCAAAAGTTATATTAAAATGCAATGATATACAATACACACCTTAGATTTGATTTAATCTAGGCAAGGAAAGGTATAAAGAGAAATCAAGTGAAAAAATAAGTACATAAAATGTAATTTGATATACTTAAAATAAATTATTAACTTTACAAAAAATATTTTTTCAAAGTTACACTTTCCAAAGTAAAAACTAATATATTCTAAAGAGTATAATCGATAGTATATTATAAATAGAAGAAAATTACTGAAAAAAGCAAAATAAATACAAAATACAACAGACGATTAGAGTTAATTTAGCCATCATTGATCGATATTGATAGTAGAGTTTTCTCTATAATAAGTCAGAAGAATGTCTAATTACTCTCCCAATAAGTTGCATGGCATCCATTTTGATTAAGTTTTTATACGACTTTAAATCAGCATCTAACAAAAACAACAACACAAGGTTTAATAAAACAACAACATCAACAACACAAGGTTCAATAAGATCATATAATAAAATTTACTTAAACAGATGTCATGCTCCATAGTCAAAAAAATTTAAAACAAATTTAATTTTTTTATTTATTAAAACTTCGCTTTTAACTTTAAAAATAATTCGAACACAATAATAAGCTAATGAGAATACCAGTGATAACGATACATAGACTTGTCTACTCTTTAATTTTTTTATCTTTTTTAGACCATTTTTGCTGTATTCTGACAAAATAGAGTCTGTCGTACATCTAGATATACAAAAAAGATGATAAATTTAAACATAAATGTTAAACATAAATATTAAATTTCAAAGGATGAAACAAAATGAAACAAAGGATGATAAATGAAACAATGAGTGATAAATATAAGCATAAATGAAACAAGATGATAAATATATGAAACAAAGATAAATATGATGAAACAATGAATAATAAATAGACATAAATGTCTATTTATTATTCATTGAATAATAAATAGACATTTGAATAATAAATGGACATTGAATAATAAATAAACAATGAATAATAAATAGACATAAATGTCAAACATAAATGTTTAAATTCAAAATTTTTTTGAGTTATAAAAGATTATAATTAGCAAAACATTTTTTATTGTATCAACTGGATTTTTAGCGCCATTTAATGATTTCTGTTTTACCTAAAAAGAAACAATGCAATAAACATTGAAAATATTTATTGCATTGTTTAAAATGACAGTTTTAAAAAACGGTTGTAATAATGTATAACATATAAGGGATTGCCCATAAACTACATTTAGTAATTAAAGAGATGTTAAACTCTTATACGCGGCAATTTTAATTAATCCTAATGGACCTAATTGTTTGTTGATGAAATTTAAAATGGCGTAGTTTAAGCCATTTTGATTTTTTATGATTGAGGCTCTGCGAGGTAAAACTTATAATCTTTATTGTTTTGTTTGTTGGTGAAATTTAGAATTGCATAATTTATGAACAATCCCTAAACTATAAAGATACATGCATACAAAAGTGAATATCTCCATTTGAAATTATTCTTTTCAAATTATTAAGTTCGTCTGAACTTTTATGTTGTTTAAAACTTTTTTCTAGACCGTTAGAGAACCGTGCAGTTCTATCTACCAACATGCTTTTAATTTCAGCAAGTTAGAACATAACTTTTTTCTGAAACTCTAAAAAATGATATATATAAGTGAAGCTACATAAAGCATAGTACTTTCTATATATGGTTTGAAAGAGGTCGAGTTAAACTAAATAGTGCAAAATATTTCAAGTTTCATGCTTAACTTCAAAAAAAAAAGATATAAGCAAGTAAAGTTTAAGTTGTTTAACGTCAATAACTATTAAGAATCACAACCTATGACAAAGTAGAGTTAAAAGAAACTATAAAAGAAATATTTATAATATATATATATATATATATATATATATATATATATATATATATATATATATATATATATATATATATATATATATATATATAAATATATATATATATATATATGTATATATATATATATATATATATATATATATATATATATATATATATATATATATATATATATATATATATATATATATATATATATATATATATATATAATATATATATATATATATATATGTATATATATATATATATATATATATATATATATATATATATATATATATATATATATATATATTAGTTTTCACTGTTTCAATGGGTAATTTTTTCAGAATTTGACTTTGCAATTTGTAAAAAAACTCCACCATAATTGATGTTTGTTACCTCGAATATTTAAAGACGAATCTGAAAAATTTGGAGAGTACGAATAATGGGCGGGTATTTTACAAGTTATTTTCTCTATATCATAATACCTTTTGTACATTTGAATGAGATCTTCTCGTATTCTTCGTTGTTTTAAAGATGTCAATTTCATTGCTTTCTAGTCTATAATTTTAAAATTAAAATTTGTATTTTCCAATTTATTACCTATTTTTCTAATATAGCAACGCCATTTTGTAAAGCATGTGCATACGTTTCATTGTTAAGTTCAGCTATTACTTTACAATCATCTGCATAAAACAACAATTGGTTTGTAAGTTGACTTAGAAGATCATTGATGTATACTAAAAAAGAAAACTCAACTAAGCACAAACCCTTGTGGTAAACAGCTTACTATGTCCAAAAATGATGATACAGTTTCTCAAAGTACAACTATTTGCTTCCTATGAGTTAAAAAAAAATTATTTACTTCAATGACAAAGATGTAATGAAATATGTTCCAAGTTTCAGTTCAAATCTTCTATGTAAAACTTTATCAGAAACTTTTTTGAAATCAGTATAAAGGGTATCAAAAGATTTACCGTTGGAACACATGTCGTTACTGTATCCATGCACTATTGGAGATAAGTTGTGTAACTTTTACATTTTGTAAAACGATGCTAATAAAAAAATAGTAAAATTTTAGCCTTTAGATAATGTCAGAGTTATTTAGATACTAAACGTTCTAAAGTTTTACAAAGAATTTAAGTCAAGGAAACTGACCTATAATTTGAAACTTTTTTTCTACTGCCAAATATAAACAACGGCGTTTTATGTTTTTTCCGCCTACCATGAAATAGCTGCTACGCCTTTGTAAACTGATTTATTAAATAATAAATCAATAAATTAGAAAAAGCATTAACACACTCTTTAAATGCGAAAGAATGAATTCAATCTGGTATTACTAATTTCTATGGGTTTAAAGCATTTATCATATTAATGACTTTATTTGAGGCAATACTAATAAATTGTAGTGAATTTAAATACCTTTGTTCAAAGTTTGGTAAAATATCGTCGGTACCTTCTACAAATACTATTTAAAAATATTTAGTTTAAAACTGGTATTTTTGCCGTTGCTCAAAACGTGCTAAAACTACTAAAAAAGCCACAGATGAAACAAAATATAGACAAACATTAGAGGATATGGGATTTATAACCATTACACAAATCAAAGATAACGCTTTTTCTCCGAACACTTAATCAAACCCTCCAGTAAGCTTTTTTCTTCTAACAACCTATGGTGTTATAACCGTTGTTGATTTTACTAACTTTTTTGATTAAGGATTCCTTTAACAATGACCATGACTCCCAGTCAGTCTATGAGGGTAAAGGGGAACTTATGAGCTCTTCTACTCTTTCAAAATCATAAGCTACACTCAAAATGTTTGATTCAAAAGACTGTGGATCAGTGGGAGCTGTAAATAAGGAACCCTTACAGAAATATTCCATGAAAAACCCATGGAATTCCATGAGTAAACCATGGTTTTCCCATAGAAAACGGAAATTCCATGGAATTTCCATGGGTGCACTTCATGAAAATTGAAATCCCATGGAATTTCCATGGGTAAACCATAGTTTTTTTTCATCGCCATGGTTGTTACGAATGCGCTTTTAAAGATGGCGTCATACCTCGTAGAGTCACGATTACTTTTAACTTGAGTAAACAATACTTACTGCATTCTTCTGTTTTTCTGTGTTTAATAAGAATATAAATTATATGTTTTTTATAATGCATCACATTTATATGATTCAAACTAAACATACAGGCATAAACAACTAGATATATTTATCATATTATAATGCATTATAAAATGGATTATTTTTAATTATATTTAATTATACATCATTTATGCATATACTTATTTTAACTGTTTCCAGTAGCTTTGCTTACTTTACATAACTTGCAATAGTATAGCAAGTATTTCAAGTAAACCAGTTTGAATTTTAATGCTTACTTGGCAAATTATTTGCGAAATAATTATTATTTGGTTTACAACAAGTAAATGTTTAGTTTTAATCTGCATTAAATAACTAGTGTATTAATGTACATAGTGCTATCTAATGTACGTTAAAGTTGGAGAAAGAAAACTGTGGTAATTTTTAAAAGTATCAGAAAGGGAAGTTAATTAATGCACAAGATTTTACTTCATAATTAAATATAAGCATATAAAAGCAATGTTTATAAATAATACACTATTATTTATTATAATACAATTATTTTTATTTGTTTATATTTAACTAATGTAAAGTGCTCGTCTTTAGTTAAAATAAATTAATTTATGCACACACTTTGGTATTTATTATGCTTTTACATTACTATACTTTATAAATTACATATTTGTTACGTTTTAAATAGTAAAAATATAATAAATTTTTGAATTTAATGGTGTGTGCGAAAGTTCTTTTATTTTAACTTTATCATTTTATTTAAATTACTGCATTATAAGCAGGTAAGTTTGACTGACAATATTAAAAAAGTTGTATATTATGCAGACAGCTCAGACGAAGAAGTAAGTTTTTGCTTAAAATTACAATTTGTAAGTTATACTATATTTGTTGCTACCTTGTTCTATATAAATGTTACTAATATGCAGGTAAAATTTATATATGTGTATAAATCTTTTCATTTTAACCTTATCATTTCATTTAAATTACTACATTATTAGCAGGCAGGTTTGACTGGCAATATAAATTTTTAACTTATTAATTTAGCCGTTTGTTAACAAGTCCCGTGCTTTATAATATATTAAAAGATGGTAAGGACGTGAAGAAAACAGGTTTGTAAATGATGTTGTACATCATGCAGATAGCTCAGAAGAAGGAGTAAGTTTTTTAATTACAAAAGTAAATATATGATATAATATTTGTTGCTGCCTTGTTCTATATAAATATTTCTAACATGCAGGTAACATTTATATATGTATTAGTTTAAATAAATCATTTTAATTAAGTTACATTATAGGCAGGAATGTTTGACTGGAAATATAAACGATGTTGTACATAGTGCAGATAGCTTAGGCAAAAAAGAGGTAACAATCTAATAATTTTTATTTATAAATAATGAAATATTCATTGCTACTTTTTTCTATATAAATGTTACCTAATATTTGGCAACATTCATAATTGTGTATAATGCCTAATTATAAAGTAAATTATAATAGATAATAATTATAAGTAAAATGAATTAGTAAATAAAGAAAACTAGTTAGAATGTATATAATAGTTGTATGATGTATTGTCTAGATTGGTGAAATGGAGAATGAAACTAACTACGGTCAAAAAAATAATGAATATCAAAATGTGAATGGTACTTTGTTTAACATCTACCTGTTTCTACAGATACAGTACAGACGCATTTATAATTGGGCTTGATGTTTTTATCATTAAAACTTGAAGTTATTATAAAATTTATATATAATACTTTTATCAAATAGTTAATATAAAATAATAAACATGTAAATTGTTTTATTTTCTGTAAAAATTGTTTTCTTTTATATTTCAATTGTTTATTATTATGTATATCACTTATAGTATTATATTACTTGTAGTTTTTTGTTTTATTTATTTTCAGTATCTTATACATATGCTTGCATTAAATATTGTGGGGAAGTCAAGTTTTGATGTCTTAGGTGCATTATAGCTATTATTTTTCAAAGGTTTGTATGATTTAACAAGATTTAAATTTTATTTTGTTTATTGATTTTATTCGGAGAAAGCGATCCGATAGACTAAGAGAACTCAATAATATTAGTGTGATAAAATTTGCTTTTGTCATATAATATGACAATTCAAATAAAATTAGATCAAAAAAACTTGAAAACAAATCATGCTTTTTTACCATGAAAAATCCATGAGTTTTCCTTGGAAAGGTGTTCCTAATACCTATGGAAATTCCATGGTTTTTGCATGGATGGAAAATCATTGAATATCCATGTTATTTGAAACACTTTTCCATGAAAAACTCGTGGATTTTTCATGGGAAACTCATGGATTTCCTATGGAAAACTCATGGGTTTTCATTGAAAACTCATGTGGTTCCCATAGGAAACTCATGGATTTCCCATGGAAAACTTATGGGTTTCCCATGAAAACGTGTATACTCAACCTGAATTAATGCTGACCCCTCTTTGTGGACAGTTATTTTGTATCTAAAAGATTGAGATGCAATTATTTTAAAAGACCTCCTTCACATTCATTTACGCAACGAGATTTTCCTCGTGATTCTAAAAAGAGAATCTTTTCTTTGATTTTGTTTTATCAATCTTTGTCTATTAAAATTATAGAGGATAAATATTTTTTAATTTAAAGCTGGGCTTTCGAGGCTCTCTACTTGCTCTCTCTTTGGTACGAAAGCAGTATTCAAAAACGGAGAATTGTATCTTCTTTGTTTCGGAGGAGTAGCAAAAAATCAGTGGAATAAATTTATTTATAGTGTGAAGCAGCATTAATCCTGCCTATTGCACCAAAGATTCTGCGTGAATTGGAATTGGAATTGGAAAGAGGCATTCGTCTAAACAGCTCCACTTCTATAGATTCAGACTAGCTAATAAGTTCTGAGACAGCTAAATGACAATTTTAGATGTAACTGTTTTCTAGGTAACTTAGTATAAAGTTCTCTCAATATCAATTTTAATTATTTTTATGATTTAATTATAGTTACTATATACAATTTTGTTTGCAGGTGAAACAACACACGTGAATGGTAAAGAAAGTAAAAACCTTTTTTCCGGTATGATGCTTATTGGTCGCCAAAAACTTGTTATTGCATCCTTCTTGTAAGATGTAACACGTCATTAACAAGACGGCTCCAAAACGATTGTCTAATACCCCTCTCTGTTGTCTCAATATGAGTTCATCTGAGAATATGGTGGTGTCATTCAAAGAGCAGCTGTTTAAGAAATCCAAGATGGTTTCTACTTTTCCATCGTGGTGGTTAGTATTCCTGATATATCTCACACGGATCAGAAAACATTTGTTAAAATTAGTCTCTGGAAAATCAAAGAACAACTCTTGTGTGTTGAGGCTTTCGATAAAAATAAGAGCCAATATAGCCAACCTTATCACTAGTGAAATTGCAAAGCTAGGTTTGGATATTCGTTACTGTCGCGGTCAGGGACACAAAAATGGATCAAATACGTCAAGTGTTTACAATGTAGCTCAAGTCTATCTAAGGCAAAACTATTTGATTATTTCGATTGAAGATGATTCGGATCAAAAGGTGAGCTACGATAATGTCATAGATATTTGGGCGGCTGAAAAAGCTAAAAAACTTCCTTTTTAAATGTTATTTTTACATGTCTCAAAGATTTTGTTAATTGACTTTTTGTTTATTGGTTTTAAACTATTTTTTTGGTTCATAAGTCAGTTTTGAACTGATACTCAATCCGAAGAAATTTTCTGTGTTCTCCGTAACACAGAAATACAATGTGCTGTTTCAGAAACGGAATGTGCTGTATCATTAACAAAACTATAAATTTTTAACTTCTTGGTTTGAAAAAGGGGCGCCACTCTCCATTATTGACCCGGGAGCTAATGACGTTCTAGAAGTCCCTGTATAATTAACAACATGTTTAATTAAATTTGCGCTATTTTATGTTTGCTTTTTAACACATTTACTTAATTAAAGAGATTAACAAATGCTTAAAATCTAATAACTTATCTTCGATAAAAAAACTTACAAAACAAAACTTTTTTCCCAAATACAAAATAAGTAATAGAATTTAACTTCTAAAGCACTTATTAGATTAAAAATAAAATTAAATCATAAGAAAGCTTTTTTAATTTTTAAAATTTTGAGTTTAATTTAAAAATCTTTACGAGGAGAAACTCTATTAACTAAATTAAATTAAATAAATTTACTTCAAAGCTTGTTCAGTAAAAGCGAAAACTTCTAAAATAAACAAATTATAAAAATCATTGAGAAACACATTTTTTTTGGAGACTTCTTAAAAATTTAAGTGAAATATTCAATCATTCCATTTTGCTCTTTGAATCCAGTTATTGTCACCAAAAGTTTTAAAATGTAGGCCGTCTTCATTACCTTGAAAAAAGAATTAATTACGCATAACTTCAACACTTTGCTAAATTTTGAAAAGGAAATTAGAAAAATAAGTTCTTACCCATCCACTGGTTTTTTCCAAACGAAACAACTTGATCATAGCCTCCTTCCAATGTTTTTAACCGTGTCCAATTAAGATTTTTAGAAACGTTTATTTCAAACTCACTATTTGTAACAGCTAACCACTTTTTAAATGCATTGTTATACGTTAGATATAATTTCTGGTTTCTGTGTATGGCAATTAACTCTCGACTTAAAATGTGATGGCCCAGAACTGCTCCTACTCTTATGTCAATTGCTATGATTTAAAAAAAAGTTTTTATTACACTGTCCGAAACATGTATTAAGCAAATATAACTACAAAAAAATAATCATTTTTTATCAATTTTACTTTTATCTTATTTATAAACAAAAATTATTTTGTAATGTATCAAATAAATATATAGTGAAATATTATTATTGTTCTTGTTCTTGATATTGTTATTATTGTTATTTTTATTATGATTATTATTATAGTTGCATTCATTAAATATACATACAATATATACATGCAGCGAGCGGGGAAAACAACCTACTATAAATTGCCAGCTTTTAAATATTCGTTCCCAATTTTTTCCTCGACCCGAAATCTAGTTTAACATTAAAAGAAAGTACAGTTGAGTGGAAAGTAACTTGCTTGGGTAGTTTATTCCAGTATTTTTCTGAACTATTATATAGTTGGTTGTGTCTTAGAAAACAGTTTTATTCATATTCATACCTTATTTTAGATGAAGACAACGTTACAAGAAGTTAATAAGTTTTGGTTGATGTATATCATTAATTATATGAAATGATGTATTAGTTTAAAGATTTGGATAAGATCACATTGTAGGCGGCGATGCTCAAGTAATGGTATATTTAGTTTTTTTTTAGTCTTTCATTGTATTGAAGATTTCTGAAGCCTAAACCCCATTTATTGGCTTTACGTTGAACAGATTCTATCAAAACTACGTCAGTTTTTATAAACGGGGCCCAAACAGACAATGCATATTCAAGGTCTGGTCTTATAAACACTTTATATAATTTGATAGCCATTTTTTTATCAATGATGGTAAATGTCTTATTTAGCATAACAGCTGATTGCGTCACTTGAAGTTAGATGTAAAAATGACTCCTAAATCACGCTCTTCAGTAGAGCTCTTAGGCTCTCATTTATACCTGGGTTATTTTGCAAAAAGTATTTGTACTTAGTATTGATTTTACCATAATTGATAACACAGCATTTTGAAATGTTTAATTTAAATAACCAAGTGTTTGACCACTCGTATACTAAGCGCAAACAATGTTGGAGATCAACAAAATTAGTCTGCGATATAGTTTTAGAAAAAAGTTTAGTATTGTTGGCAAATATTTTAGAAGTTTCAGTAAGTTAGGCAAGATTGCTTGTAAAAAGAAAAAAGAGGAGCGGGCCGAGAACAGAACCTAGAGAAACACCACTGAGAACATTAACCCAGACAAAGCTAGTATTGTGAATTGTCAGAGCTGTAGACTTGAGTCCGATATAAGTCACACTAGAGACTTGACTGGAGACTTGACTTGGGTTTTGTCCTGAGACTTGCGACTTGACTCGAGACTTGCTAATTTCGGCTTAGCGACTTTAAAATTAATATTTTCCGTCTCTTTAAAAATGGAGCAATTTATTTTCTATTTTAATTCAACTGTTTTTTTACCAATTTTTTATTTTCAAATGTGTTTTTCTTACAACTTACGTTTAACTGGTTTGTAATCTAAGCGAGATCCGAAGAAAAACATCGCATTTAGGCTCTTTCGTTTTCAAAAAATTCCGACTTTTTTGTATGCGTTCTGATTGATTCATTTTTTCTTTAACTCATGAAACTTATTGTTTATAAATGTTCGGTGATTTTAATTTCTTATTTAAATTATTTTTCTTTTCTTTACAATCTTCGTTTTTTTTATTTTTTATTTTTACTTTCAAAATTATCTTTTACTATTATTATTTTTTCATTTAATTTATTTATAAAATTCATTATAAAAAAGCGTCCGCCACTCCGGAAATCTTTGCACTGCTGTTCTAATTTTAAGTATTTAAAATTGTGTTTGCTACTAATATCGGCGATTTTTAAAGTTTCATAAGTTATCTTAAAACTATGAGTGCTATAAAAATTCAAAAAACGCCTGCAGTGCCTGGAATAGTTAATTTTGGTTATACTGAGTTAGAGAAAAAAAGAAAAAACTAGATCAGCACGATGTAAATTTTGTCAAGCTTTAATTACCGGTGGAGTTGCGACTACAAGCAACTTCATTCGCCATTTAAAAAAACATCCAAGAAAATAATCATTTTATCAAAAGTTTATTCAGACCAGACCAACGGTTGCTACACCAGACCAATCTAAGATTTTAGACTTGCGAGCAGGTTATTTACTTATACTAATTTGTTTTTATTTTATTAGATATTTAACATATATCAAACCCTTGAGACCGTTCTATGTCCGCGGTATTCTTCTAACCCTAGTAGACTAGTAGTCTACTAGAGGTCTGACATTCCATAACAGTTCTTATAGCTCTTATTAGCTTGAACAGCAATACGTTGCAGTGTCGTACTACATCTGACTACTTAACCCTAGACTTTTAAATAAAGCTTTTAATAAAGCTTTTAAATAAAGCTTTTAAATAAAGTTTTAAATAAAGCTTTTAAATAAAGCTTTTAAATAAAGTGTAGCTTATAAAGCATGGCATTAAGGAATATTACTTTATAGAATAAAAAGTTAGAATGACACTGCATTTAGTATTTGTAGTTGCTTTGGGTTTTTTTAGTGAAAAGTGAACATTTTAGGCGATACAATAACGTTCTCGATCCTCAGTGCTCAACTATTAGCCGTTTTGCCGTAAAAACCTATTTAGAGAAAACGTATACGGATGCAAAGGAAAAATTAACTGAAAATTTATATCAAGCTGCAAGCAATTCTTTAACTCTTGATATTTGGTCAGAAAAATGAGGGGTTACCTTGGTGTAACAGCTCATTACATACATAACTATCACTTCCATACACGACTGTTAGCATGCGATAGGTTCTTAGGTGCTCATACTGGAGATAACATAGCAGAACATTTTGAATTCATTTGTAAAACGTAAAAAATTCTTGACAAAGTTGTGTATGTTGTGACGGACAATGCCTCAAACATACGCAAAGAACTTGCTACAAATTTTCCAGAAGACCCCGAAGGTGGCGGTGATACATCTGCAGAGGAACTTTACGAGGACATAGAAAATGAAGACTTGTGGGAAGACATTATTTCACCGGACGAAATAATCCAGATTATAAATCAGCTTGTTAAATATTAAAGTGTGTCCAAAAAAAATAATTTATGGACACACTTTAATATTTATTTTGTTTTTACATTACTATACTTAATAAATTACATAGTTATTATATTTATTATGTTTTAAGTAGAAGGAAAAATATAATAATTTTCTATTTTAATAATGTGTGCATTAGTCCTTTTATTTTAACTTTATCATTTTATTTAAATTACAGCATTATAAGCAGGAAAGTTTGACTGGCAGTAAAAAATAATGTTTTATATCTTTCAGATAGAGCGGACGAAGAAGTTTTTTTATTTAACTACGATTTATAAGTAGTAATATATTTATTACTGCCTTGTTCTATATAAATGTTACCAACATACAGGTAACATTTAAAAATCTACATAAATCTTTTTATTTTAACTTTATCATATCATTTAAAATGCTCCATTATCAGTAGGTAGGTTTGACTGGCAATATAAATGAAGTTGTACATCATGCAGATAGCTCAAACAAAGAAGTTTTTTTTTTAAATTACAATTTATAAGTAATACTATACTTGTTCTACATAAATGTTACACGCAGGTAACACGCAGGTAACACGCAGGTAACACGCAGGTAACATTTATATATGTATTACTTCGTGCATAAATCTTTTTATTTTAACTTGATCATTTTGTTTCGATTACATAAAAGGCAGGAATGTTTGACTGAAAATATAAATGATGTTTTACATCATGCAAAAAGCTTGGGAGAAAAAGAGGTAATAATTTTATAATTATTATTTATAAATAATGATATATTTATTGCTAATTTTTTCTTTATAAATGTTACCCAACATTTGGCAACATTTATATGGAACATTTAAAAAGTTGTGTGTTGATGAGTAATTACAAAGTAAGTTATAATAGATAATAGTTATAAGTATAAATAAATTAGTGAATAAAAAAATTTAGTTAGTGTGTATTTATTAATTGTATGATGTATTGTCTAGGTAAAATAGATAATTATACAATCTGTGGTGAAAACAATAATGAATATCAAAATATGAATGGTTATATGTTTGTAAATGTATAACTTCAAAAATAACTAGCTATTAATCTTTTTTTTAAAAGCGCAGAAGATGTTAACTGTATTTCAATCATCTCAAAATTTTACATGCTGGATGAAAAAACTGCTCTAATGAAAGATTTATTTATCATAATTTTCTAATTTAATTAAGTCTTGTAATTAGAGAGAGCAGATATATTTTTGAACTTTAAACTACTTGAAGAAAACTTAATAGGGTAAATTAACAAACTTGCTAAAGTGTCTGTGAAAGTTGCACACAAGAAATTGACAAAAAATTATTAAAAAAAAAAATTTAATGAACACTGTGAAAAAAAAAAGATGCATCAGTCTTAGTTTACTTTTAAAGTGACCAAGAAAGATTTATATGAAAAATAAATTTAAAACTAAATTTATCAAGTATGCTATTTAAAAGCTGCATTTAATATAAAAAATTTGAAAAAAAAAAAATTACGGAGACCATTGGTTGTGGGTTTCATAGAACTTTTTTTATTTTAAATTTTTATAAAAATAGATATATTATAAAATGGAAGCAATTTAAAAATTTGGTACCAGCAATTTCGCAATAAAGCCTTAAAATATTTAGAAAGTAAAAAGTATATTTTTTCTCCAAAACAATGTTTGTTAGATATAAATACAAAACAAAAAATTAATAAAAATATTACAATTAAAAACGAGTCAGCGAAATAAACAATTAATTAAATTATCTTTTTCTGATGCGTGTATTAAACATTTTATTAAGCAACAAGCAACAACATATTGAAGCTAAAATATAATAAAAAAATATCTAAGACCATACATGAATAATAATGATAAGAATTCATAACAGATGAAATACTTAAGTGATCCGTTATCACTTGAAAAAACAAATAGTGCAGCTAAGTAAGAAAAGTTTAATGCATAAGAGTAAAAGTGTATTTAGATGATTGATGTATGTAAATTTACGTAAATTTTGTTATTTTAAACATTTAGAAATGTATATTGTGTTAAAATTATTAAATAGTATACTACAGAAAGTTTCCTTAAAACGATTTAAAAAAAAAAAAAAAAAAAAAAGCCAGGTTTGTTGAACTCAGACTTTACAAAATTGGTTGGATACCATTAACATAAACACGAAACAGTGCGACGGAAAAAAGAAACTATCGCGAGACACAAAATTTGTTACTCATTCAAAACTCTCTCTATGCTTGTTACTAATGTTTTTTATATTAGAATTTATTTTAAGACGAGTTTCCTATGAGTGGAAACTCGCTTTAAAATAAATTACTTAAAAAACAGTTGCGCAAGTTAATGCAAGAGTTAAGCGCCTCCTACTTATATCAAAAAGTTATTTTTAACGTTAAATTTTGTGAACGGCGCCTCAAACAAAAAGCAAAAACTGTATGTAAATTTTTTATTAACACTTTGCTTAAAGCCTGCTTTTTCAATGAAAAAATAAAAAAATGTAAAAAAATTAGGATTTTGTTTAAATGTTAAGAACATATCTGCTTTATTTTATTCTTAAAAGCTAACATTTTAAAAACTTTTTTTTCTTTTTGGGTTGTATTATGAAAAGTATTAGCATTACCTCTAAACAGACTGGAAAAAATAAGTATGACTCTGAAAGATAAAACCCAGTGATAATTTTAGAAAATGCTGTTAGTTCAGAATTAAAAAATCTTTAAAAGAATTAAAAAGATATTATTTGTTATAACTTCTATGAAAGTTATAACAAGCTTAAATAAAACCTTTTGTAAAAACTGATATAAGATGCTATTTTTATGACAAAATTTGTTCTTATTCAAAACTCTCTCTATTCTTAAATATTGTTATTGTTAGATATTGTTATTGTTAGATATTGGGACCTATAGGTCCCTAATATCTAACAATGACAATATCTAACAATAACAATATCTAACAATAACAATGTCTAACAATATCTAACAATAACAATATCTAACAATAATAATATCTAACAATAACAATATCTAACAATAACAATATCTAACAACCACAATATCTAACAATAACGATTTCTAACAATAACAATATCGAACAGTAACAATAACAAAGAACAAAGTTAATGAATCCCTAATACCTAACGAACATTTTACTGAGAAACAATTTACAGTTAAGAAACAAAAACAAAGAATAAGACTTTGTTTAAAAAAAAAAAAAATTAATGTCTAGCTATTGTTAATAGAGTTCGTCAGCGTTTAATTGAGTTTATTCACATTCTACTTTTTTCTTCATGATGTTTAGCTGGTTGTATTAGTTTCATTGCTGGTAGTTTATGTTCATCTGTTGTGCATATAGTTTAAATCTTTATTTTTTCAGCACGGTATTTTTACTTTTAATTTACTCTTTATTTTTAATATGACTACATACAATAATGGTAAGCTCAACAAAATCTAGTTTGAAGCAAATGAACGCATAAACAATATTATATTTTTTATTCTATTTTGATTTTGACCTCTGCATTGGTTATAGTAAATATAAATCTGTGTTGTTCCAACTTTGCTTTCAAATTAAATTTATTTATTTCATTTCTTACTTCACAGGTACCTTTTCCCCCTTCAGTCTTTTCCTACAAATATATATGTCTTTAAAATCACTTAATGTAGCAGTACGGTTATGAATTTGCAAACTTTTTGATTAAAATAAAAGTCCGGTCAGACCATAGAGCAGTTGAAAAACTTTCTTCAAGTCAAAAACTGAAAGTATGGTCAACAATTTGTTTTGTTTTGCCTCATTCTATTTTTCTCCTATATAAGTATATTTTTTGTCATTGAAATTTTTGTTATATTATTGATATTTTGTTTTGCTTGTAAAACCTCGCAATTTTCCTTCGGACAAAAAAAAACTTTTATAACGTGATTATTTTTTCCTTTCCTATCCTGTTATCAACCATTATTTCCTATCCACAAATTTTAGTGTTTTTGGAATTTCAAACAAAATCCATGTTTTTTAAAGTTAGTTTGGTTTTTTCATAGTCAGATTGAACAACTCCTTATGCCTAAAAAATCAATGATTTTGTATTTCATTCTAATTGAAAATTGTTTTAGTATTTTTTGGCAATCTTAAAAATTCTTTTTAATACTTCCTTTTTAATATTTCTTTCAAACAAAATCCATGTTTTTAAACATAGGCTTGATTTTTTCAAAATCAGATAAAACAAATCGTATGCCTGAAAAACTGATGATATTTTGTTCCCATTCAATTGAAAATTGTTTTATTTTATTTTTTGGTATGCTAACCTCTATTTAAATGTTTAACTTCTATTTTTTGAAAAAAGTTTTATTTTTTTACATTATTTTGGTTTTTGCTACGCTCTCTTCCCTTGCAACAATGTGTAAGCATTTTTTATCGGTAACCAATATGTGTTGCATACAGTTTTTTTAATTTTCTCTAAATTGTTCTGCTCATTGAAAAATGTATTTTTAGCCACACCCATTTTGCATATCTTTTCTTTTAATATTTAAGCATTTCTAATGAACTGTAAAAAGTTCTTTTTCTTCCTTGGAGTTGTGTCACAGTGAATTGATATAAGGTTTTTAGTACCGCAATAATTTTTACAGCGCTAAACTTTTCATAGTGATTGAGGTTCTTAACTATTGAAGCCATACTTGCTACTCAACTTTAAACATTTTGATAAAGTTTTTCATTTCTTATGTTATAAAGAACATTCTTAAACCATCAGGTATCATCTTTCCTTGGACAATGAAACTATTTAAAGATAATCTTTCTAATAAAAATAGTTTTAGTTTGTTGGATCATTAAATACATCCTATAAAACATTATACAGTTTTTTTTTTGAATTTATTTTACCGCCATTGAAACTTCAGTCATTAATTGTGTTTCATTAATCGTGTACGAGCTTTAGATTTATGATATTTGAGCAAAGTGTTATCATCATCTCTATTTTATTAGACTCTTTCAAATGTACAAATTTTCATTCGATCATCATTTCTCTGATGTTTCTTTTTCTGCAAAAATACAAACAGATCATTTTATTTGCTCACATTACTTGTCTTCTTAAATTTTTCAACCAAATTTTGAAGTGTTTTATCATGTGGTGAAAAAGAAGTAAATTAATTTTTCCTACGTCATCTAACCTCCGTAAAATTCTTAAATTTGTCAAATAAATAAAAAAAGCATCTGAGAAGTTATGTTTTAATATATATATATACATATATATATATATATATATATATATATATATATATATATATATATATATATATATATATATATATATATATATATATACATATATATATATATATATATATATATATATATATATATATATATACTATATATATATATATATATATATATATATATATATATATATATATATATATATATATATATATATATATATATATATATATATATATATATATATATATACTCTAATAATCAAATTTCATACATGAAAAGATTTTTAGGCATTGCTTTGCTTGCTTTTTTAATCTTACGTACACCAAAAGAATCAGATGTAATACTTAAAACTTAATTCTGAAAAATAACTAAATTTATCTGAAAACAAAAGAAGTTTTGTTCAGAAGTTTACTCTAAACTTCTTTGAGACTCATACACAAAAATACATATATAAATCTAAATGATAGAGAAAACAACACTTTTGTAAATACATAACTTAAAAACCGTACTACTGATGAGTTTTTTGGTTTAACTCATTGTATTGAAAAACTACATTGCACTAAATGTAGTAAGCTGTAACGTTCTGAACTTCACCTGGTGTATTTTACAGCAAAACAAGTTTCAAAAGTTCCTTTTTTTTTCAATCATTTTAAAGTAAATGTTTAAAAAGAATTTACTTTGAAATTTTTTATATAAAAAATGAATATAAGATCTATTTTTTTAAATTTTTTTTGTAGGAGCTTCAAGAGAACTTAACAGTCTGTGGGAGAACATTTAACTAGGAAATTCACGCCTCCTTCCTTACTATTGGCGCAAAGTATACTTAAAGCTCGCTTTAAACTCTCAATCTCTTGCTTTTGAAGAAAGCGCTCAAACCTAAAAAAGATGAAAATAAGCATTTTAATCTTTTTTGGAAGAAAGAATATTGGGTTTTATACATAGTGACAAAGTTAAAATTTTTTATGTTTTATACATTGTGAAATATATTTTTGCACCCCAAGAATATTAAAAAAAATAATCATTTTTGATGAAAAACAAACTTCTAAATTTTGCTTTGCGAAACATCAAGATAAGTTTACAAACCTCTCCAGAGTACGCCATCATTTCTAGAATTGAAGCATGCTGGCTTTTGCATTCTACAATTAAAATTAAGAGAAAAAATAATAAATTTATAAATAAATGCGAATAAACAGGGCCGTGCAGAGGGTGAGTCATCCGAGCAAATTGCTCGGGGCCCCGGACCCTATAGGGACCCTCAGCAGTGGCAATAATTATCCTGTTTTTTTTTTCTTTTTTTTTATCCCTATCGAGAGCTTTAGTTTAAATAAAAAATCAAACTATCTCAATAAGTTTAATGAAAATTGCCGCAAAAAAAGAGCTTAAAACTTTTTTTTAAAAATAAACTTAGTGTAGCGTAATTTTTAGACAATCCCTAGCCCTGGTCTGGAAGAGCTTTCGTTTAAATTTTTTCTATATGCGCATATACAGAAAATTTAAAGGAAAGCTCTTCAAGACCAGGGCAAGGGATCGTTTATAACCTAAAAAAAACTAAATTTATCATAATTAATCTCTAAATTAAATCATACAAACAATCAAATTGCCTGTAAAAAAAACTTATCCAAATACAGGCGATTTGATTGATTATATGATTTAATTTATAGATTAATTATGATAAATTTAGTTTTTTTTAAATTTATTTTATCTAATTGTTATATTATATTTAAGTTAACTATAATATAATATTAAAATGTATGTATGTATATTTAAACAAATAAAAATGTATTCAACAAAAAGAGTGCTCAACGTTCTTAAAAGAACAGAGCAATTACAAATTGGTAGAAAATCACTTTGCGAATTTTTTTTTATTTAACACTGTGTTTCATCAATAAAGACTCAACAGAAATAAAGAAATTCGTTTAACACTGTGTTTCATCAATAAAGACTCATCAGAAATGCAGAAATTCATTTAACACTGTGTTTCATGAATAAAGACTCATCAGAAACTTCTGATGAGTCTTTATTGATGGTCTTTTTTCTTCTGATGAAAAATTTTGCAAAGTGATTTTCTACTAATTTATACATGTATGTATGTGTATTAGACAAAAGAATCTAAAAAAAAATAAAAATGAAACTCGTATCCATCTGGAGCATCAAAGTTAAAATTCAGTAAAGTAAAAAAAGCGGCTTTAAAAAAAAAAGAAGCCAAACATTATTTGATGTTGAAATTACACATACTTCTAAAACATCAGATGCCCTTTCCATTAGCTCAACGAAGCAAAAAGATGACAGTAATATCCAATCTTCTGTTACTGGTAATAGAGCTGACAATGGCAGTACAGACAGATTAGACTCTTTTGAAAACAGTCAAATTAGTGGTAGTGATAATACTTCTACAAGAACCACTAGCAGTTTTGGAGTAAGCAGTTTTGTTGCAGCCATTTGACATTGGTGAATTTGAAACAAAACATTTTTCCTCTTCTCAGCTGGAAAGGTTTGTAATGAATGGTCACTTTCCCTTCCCACTAGATATGCCAAAAGATATTGGAAGTTACATATTTCCAATGTCAGTTTTGAAATGCAGAATGCCAAATGGGAAATCCTTCTCTTGAGATTGGCTTGTATTTTGCCCAGTTAAGATAGCAATGTTTTGTTTTCCGTGTCGATTATTTTTACCTAGAAATCAAGTTCCACACTTGACTTCATCTTTTGCAATGATTGAAGGATGGGGATATGGAAAAAAGTGGAAAAATCTCATCAGTCGAATTCCTGAGCATGAGCATTCGAAAATTCATAAACAATGCTATATTCATTGGCGTGAATTGGAAGCTTGAATGAAAACTGATCAGTCAATTAAACATTTGATGAATCTTCAAATCCTCAATGAAGCTGACACCTGGAGAAAAATCTTGAAACGAATCTCGGATGTGATTCTGTTTCTTGGGTTGGCTTTTCGTGAAAAATCTGACCTAATTGGAGATTCTCATAATGGGAATTTCCTAGGATTGCTGGAACTGATTTCGCATTATGACCCAATTCTTAAGAAACATGTGATAAAAGTTAAACAATCACAGGACACGGGTCAACGTCTTCGGGCGCATTACTTACCAAATCGTTCTCAAAATGAATTCATTAGCCTTCTTCTATAATTTGTTTGGTTCGCAGGCAAATTATAGAAGAGTGCAAGTCTTCAAAGTATTTTTAAAATATGGTTGATGCCTTTCCTGATTAGAGCCATACTGAACAAACTACGTTTGTCATTTGATATGTACGTGTAGAAGAACCTGAAACATTTTAATTTTTGAAGAGCGGTTTTTGATCTTTGCAGATTGTGCCAAAAAGACTGGATCTGATATTGCAGAATTAATTCCGGAAACGTTGGAAATCTTAAAAACTTGTTTTGAAGACTGCCGTAGCCAAGGCTATGACAATGGAGTCAACATGTCAGGAAAATACAAGGGTGTTCAAATCTTTTGGGGAGGTATGGTCTACAATTTTAAAAGAAGCAATGTTAGCTGCAGATATTGCAAAAATCAGTTCTGAATTTCCGATCGACAGAAAAGTGAAGCGCAAAAGTTTCGCTGGAGAGCAAATTTAAAATAATGAACAAATCACGCAATTACCAGAATCAGGAGAGGAGGCAACATTTCGGAGAACTTTTTTTTATCACATTCTTGATTCTGTACTTGGTGGAATTACTGGACGTTTCACAGCAGTTCAAGAAATCTTTTCTATATTCTCTTTTTTGTGGAAGTATCAAAAACTGTCTGAAGCAGAAATCAAGAGTGCCTGCTCCTTTTTTTGCAAAAATATTCTTACAATGTGACCGAAAATGAACTGTTGGAAGAATTGCTTTACATAAAAAAAATTCATACAGCAAATTTTGGAAGGAAATCTCTTGCCCCATTGAACAAAATTTCTGAAATGAAGCTTGGGGAACTCTTAAGAAATGTAGTAATTGCATTGCATATTTTTGCTTTAATTCCAGTGACAGTGGCCTCAAGTGAGCGTTTATTCAGTAAATTGAAGGTCATCAAGAGTTTTTTGCGCTAAAATATGAGACAAGAACGAACAAGTGACCTCGCCATTTTGAGTATCGAGTGTTTATTAACACGAAGACTTGACTTCCATGATGTTATTGAAGAGTTTGCTAAACAAAAGACAAGAAAAATAAGATTTTAATAAACAAAAGCTGGAATACTTAATTATCTGAGCAGGCCTTTTTTTTTAGAAGTAAGGGGGGTAGGTCCCCAAACTGAAAGATGCTCGGGGTTCCCAAATCCTGTGCACGACCCTGCGAATAAAACAAAAAACATTATATTAGCATGTTTACTTAAACTATTATTTGGAATTTTGTGCAAAATCAAAACAAACAGATGTTTTGAAATTTTTTTTCTTTTGAATTAAGCTTACTCGCAGTTTTAGGTAGTATTGAAACGTTCAAAAATTATTCATGCATTGTTATGAATAATTTTGTTAGATCTTAAAAAATGTGTTTAAAGTTGTGCAAATGTTTTTAACACAAATTGTTAAAAGGTCTAAAATAGCAGTATTTTAAAAACATTTGACAAAGATGGATGATTTGTATTTAAAAACTTCTGTTGGTTTATTGTTAACCAATAATCCAAAACAGCAGAGTTTGTGGCAGCAAAGAATGGAGGATGAGGTGGGGTGAGGAGCTCAGCCCTCTACCATTATTTTAAATATAAAAGAAATTGAAAAAAAAAATTATTTAAAATTTTTTTCACCCCCTATCTTTTTAGTTTAAGCCTGCGTCTAGAGGATTTTTTCTTTAACTTCCATCCTGAAATACCCTGGATCTTTTTATGTTTTTAATTTTTCGTTAACCGGTAAAATTTCTAACACTTCCCAAATAAACTTTAAATCAAAAAACTGTTTGTGAATATGTTTTACTATATTATGACAATTACTCATTTAAAATTAAAAAATGTTAATGTCTGCAAGGCTATTTGTTTATGTATTATGTTACATTTGATAACGTCAATAATACCGAAAAATATTATGTTACATTTGATGTCGTCAACAATACCGAAAAACTATTTTAATAAATGAGGTTTAAAGAAAATATATAAAGTCATTATTTAAAATACAAAATGCAAAATACTCCTAATTTAGCAATCTCTTCATCAATCCAATGTTATCCATACATGGTCCATGCATGGATAACCATCACGCCTGTGTGCACCGTTTATGTGTTAGTGATTTTCCTAGATTGTTTTAAGTTAGCAACAATCTTCCGTCAATTTTAAAACCAAGTTTGCAGCAAAAAAAAAGTACACAGCTGCGTATGCGTAGTGTTTATAAAAACTCAAACTTTCATCTGTTTCCTTATAAATTATGAAGATTTTATTTTAGATTATCAATTATAATTTTAGAAGGCGTTCGTATTTGTATTATAAAAATAAAAGAGACAAATTACACTAAAAACAGATGCAGATATGGGTGATATACTAGCCGAGGCGTTTGTTTACTGTACAAAGTATAATTACTACCTTAACTACTTTTAAAAATATAATAATAAATTCATAAATTCATGGTATTCTTTAATTATAAAGTAAAATCATTATGTAAAAAAAATTTATTGCATTTAATTTGTATCGATTTAGTTTGTAAAGGTGTTGCGTCAAAAAAGGTATTATTTTGTTTGTTAAGGTATAGGGTCGAAAAGGTAAATAACTGCTCGATTTGAAAGCGTGTAAACCATTTACATGTCCTTCTATATGTAAAAATATCTTATTGTCAATTTCAAATTTATTGTTTCTGCTGATCACTACACTCCATTGTATGGTAAGAACTTGTTCATAATGTGCATAGTTTACATTATTTATCAAATTATAAAGAGAGAGTTGGTTGTCTTGACAATGCTTCATAACTTATTTTTGAGAATTATTTAAAATCTTTACATTGAATGATAATGAAACTAAAAAGACATGAACATGGAGCTAATTATTATTATAAACATTATTAAAAGACATGAACATGGAGCTAAATATTATTATAAGCACTATAAAAAGGCATAAAGATGGAGCTAAATATTATTATAAACACTGTTAAATGACATAAATATGGAGCTAAATAGTATTATAATACTATTGGAAGACATGAACATGGAGCTAAA